TACCATTTGTCAGGCTAAAAAGGAAGAGAAAAGAGAAGAAGGAAGGGGTGAGGGGTGTAGCAAGGCCTCCTGGACTAGTTCGCGGACCTCCAGTGCTCGTCGCCCGTTAAGAGCGATAGTGTTCTGAGGACCTCGTGTGTGCTGACTTTTACCACTGCAGACAGCCCCGATGCTGCTCTGTCCATCTTACAGATAAGGAAACTGAGGCGCAGAAACATCAAGAACCTCACGTGGCATCAGACTAGGTGATGAGGAGAGAAGCGAGGATTTGAGCCCCAGGCAGTGTGGCCCCAGAGTCGGGGCCCTTAACCAACCCGCCACAGCAGTACATACCTGGTCACAGGTGCGCGCAGACCAGGCGGGTGTTACTGCGCCAGATGGTCTGGAACCTGAGGAAGCAGAGGTGCGCGAGTTGCTCGAGATGGGCCCAGGCGCCAGGCTAGTAGGCAGCAGATGCCGGACAGAGCCCCATCAGTCTGTCCCCACCGCCCACGTCCACCTTTCCTCTTCTGCCGCACACCTCTCCACGTTTTGCTCGGGGCGTGGCGCTGGTGGGTATTTGAGGGCCCGATGTGGGCTGCAGTCAGCTTCCAGCTCTTTTCTCTGAGTTGGCCAGGTACAGGCATAACCTCAGTCACTGCTTCACTGATCTGGAAACTTCAGATATGTGAGTCAGACCAAGTCAAGAGCACCTGCTCTTCTTCATTTATTTATTTCATTCTGCCAGTGTGACTGGGCTGGTAGAATGTTGGGGCTCAGCCCTTGGCGATCATGAAGGAAAGGAGCTCTACGGGACTGCACTCATTTCCCTAATTGGCACACCAGCCCACTCCCAAATCCCTGAGGCCATCCAGGCTCTGGCCAGGAGCAGACTCCCAGGTCCACCCAATGGAGGTCGAGGCCTGTGTTGTCCACCTGGGTACAGCTGACATGTGGCATGTGAGCCACCTCCCCGCTCTGCCAGATTCTGCCCTGACCCAGCATCCACACCCTCCCTCACTGGGCAGGGGGGACAACCCCAGGATCCCTTGCAGTCGAGTTCCAGGCAGCCATGAACACTCAGGCAGAATTAGCTGCCAGGCTAGTCCTGTCCTCCATTCTGGAGCCCCCCAGAGAGGCAGCCCCCAGGAAGGCCCTTGCCTAGAAGCCAGACTGACCTTTAGGGAAGCCCATGGGCCCCACCCCAGTGGGCTTCCCAACCTACGTGGGACACCCAATGAGCACTTTCCAGGGCTGGGCACCTCTCCAGGTGTATGCCCATTACCTGGTCTGCAAGCCACAGCCCACAGGCCAGGCATTATTAGGGCACAGAGAGGCTGAGCAACTCAGCCACAGTCGCCCAGCCAGGACATGGCATAGCAAGGGCTCCGCCCTAGCAGCCTGGTTCTAGAGCTTAAACCTTGTGTTTGTGGCTACTCAGTTGGAGTTTGTGGCCCCTGTCCCTTCCAACCCTTCCTCCTAGACCTCAGACAGCACTGGGCAGACACACCCCAAATTTGCCCTTTTTAGATTTTGCATGATGCTGGCGTCACTTGTCCCTGCAAGGGGACGTTATGGGTGTTGCATCTGCAGTGAGCCAGGCTCTGGGCTACTGCTCTGCATCCTTGCCCTGAGGAGCTGTCATAATGACCAGAGACCTAGGTGGGCTGAGGTCAGCCCCACCTGGCAAGAAGAGCACTCTAAAGCTTGAGAGATCAGATGCTTTTCCCATGTCACACTCAAAGTGAGTGGTGGGAGTTGGGGAGGAGCTACCTCTGCCTAATTAAAATGGCTCTGTGTTAGTTTTCTTTGGCTGTTCTAACAAATTACCACAAATCTAGTGGCTTAAAACGATACAGGAATACGTGAAAGAAATTTGGTAGTTACTTAGTGATTTAGTTTGAGTGGCTGGGTCAAGCCTTATCTGAAGCAAATTTTTCGGCAATTCCTTAAAGAAAAAAAAATCGATTTATTATCTTATAGTTCTGGAGGTCAGAACTCCAAAAGAGGTCTCACTGGGCTAAAACCAGGGTGTTACAAGGTCTCCAGCTTCCAGAGGCACCCCCATTCCTTGGCTCATGACCCCTCCTCCATCTTTAAAGTGCATCCCCTCCATTCTCTGTTTCTAACGCATCTTCTCTGACTCTGACCTCCTGCCTCCCTTTTACAGGGATCCTCATAATAACATTGAGCCCACCCAGATAATCCAGGATAACCTCCCCATCACAGGATCCTTAACTCGATCGTATCTGTGAAGTCCCTGTGGCCATATAAGCTAACCTATGAGCAGGTTCTGGGGACTAGAATATGGATTTATTTGGGAGGACATTTGAGCTCTTTCTGCTTTTCATGGTGTGATATTTGCCTCTACTCTCTGATCCATGTCCTCCATTGGGATTCTTCCTTCAGGTCATGGGGACATCCTGGATTCACTCCCTCTCTGACACATGTCACATAGAATTAGAATAAAATTTCTTGACGATCTTCTGCAGATTGTGAGTAGGTGCTCCAGCAAATATATGCAGGAAATGTGGAGCAAAACAACAATTAAATGGCTGTCTTTATGCAGGACTTATCAGAACGTTTATTATGTAATTAACGTGACATTTGAACCAAGAGATAGAGTGTACAATGCTACTAAACTTCTTTGACCAAGGCATTTTATTCCATGGAGCTTCTCTGGAAATCGGCATTCCACAAAATGCACATTAGGAAAAGTGAGTGACTGATGAGGACGCTGCCTGTGCAGGGTCTCCAGCGTCTGTCCCTCTAGCTGCTGTACTTGGCACACTGCCTGGAGCTCGTACGTGCCAAGGATTGGGCCTGGACGGGGCCCCCGTTTCGATCAGCCAACCCTGAGACGGTCCCTTAAAAAAGCCAGTGCTTCTCCCCAAGGGCTGTGTGCTCCTGAGCATCAGCCTGGGGAGTCTGAAACTCAACTGTCCGCCAGTCGGCAGGGCCTGGCAGACCCAACCTTCCCCCCCATCCCCCTCCCCCGAGCATCCCGGACGGCGGTCGGGCCCGGCTCAGGTGGGCCTCGAGGCTGAGGCAGTGGAGGATGCGAGGCCATGTCTCCACTCGACCGCAGGAGTGTCGCCTCTGAAGAGAGGATGGCATTAGGATTTACCACAGGAGGCCACCCACCCCCTTCCTGCCCCCTTCATCCATCAGTGAGTGGTGCATCTCCGTGTCTGCCATGATTCTCTCCCTCACCAGATACTCTTCCTCACCCAGTCACAGGAAACTTGTAAGAAGGGGTGTGTGGAGGGGCACCTGGGTGCCTCAGTCGGTTAAGCGTCCAACTCTTGATTTCAGCTCAGGTCATGATCTCAGGGTCCTGGGATTGAGCTCCGCATCAGACTCTGTGCTTAGAGGGGAGTCTGCTTGGGATTCTCTCTCCCTCTGCCCCCCCCACACCCACACTCTCTCTCTAAAATAAATAAATAAATCTTTAAAAAAATAAGGGATATGGAGCAAGTAGAAACTATTTTTATGAACACATACACAGCAGGTAATTAAATTGATGCTTTAAAAGAAGGAGATCACAGCTTTTAAGAAAGAAGAGATATTTTGTTCCAGAAAACTCTGTTAAAGAGCTGAACATCAAATTTAGCTGAGAGCTTCCTGGCAGCCAAGGTGGGAAAGGAAAAAAAAAATAGGCTATAAATTTCTCTTTATTTTACATGGAAAGTATGTATGTCAGGAAGGAGAAAGAAATATTTTTCTGCCCTAAAACTTTAGGATGACTTTATCAAATGAGTGTTGCGTTTTGAACTTTGAGAAAGTGTTAGCAATACTATGGTGTAGTGAATGATGTGGAAACGTTACTCATTCGGCTACTTCTTCCATTTATCCTTAAAAAAATGCTAAGAAAAGTATTAAATCATCACTTACAAAAGAAAGATTCTGAAGCCGTTTTCAGTGTACTACTGGAAATAACACCCCGGAGGCTTCATGGGCTTGCTTTTTGTAGAATCTGGAGCAAGTTTAATAGCCTTTATTTTGCTACTTTAAATTGCTACTTAAGAAGAGCAATTTCACCTGCCCTGCAGTGCAGAGCAGTGTTTTCAAGGATGATGCCCACTGTGTCTGGGATGCACTGTCCACAGGAGCCATCAACCAAAGCCACCTCTCTCTGTAGGAGGATAAATACTAGAGCACTGAATATTTAAATCCGTGTTCTAAAAGTGTCTCTTATTATCTGATTATCATGATCTCAGGGGTCTAATCAGTCCACCCACCTTTGCATCTATATACATGGAGGTTTGCACAATTAAGGGCTTGGTAACAAATGGCAGGTTCCCTGAGGCTGGAAATGTGCAGTGTTCAGCCTGGAAAAGGCATAAGTCACGAGGGTGAGTTTGAATCCTGGGAAGACTAGCTCTTTGAGAATACGTCCACCCACGGTTCCTGTGTTCCCCAGGGTCATATGGATGGAAAGGGCCTTGGAGGGCATTTAGTTCAGCTCTCTTCCCGATGACAGAATCTACTCCTGCATCCTGGCCAAGTGGCAGGCAGTCTGACCATCTGAATACCTCCGACAAGGATGAGCACCCAGGGCCAGGCAGACAGGAGGCGCTCAATAAATATTTATCAAAAGAGCACCTCCCGTGTGCGAAGCTCTGAGCTAGGGGTTAGTGTGTATACATCATTCCATTACTACCAGAGCCATGTGAGGCAGGAATGGTTACAAACAATGGACCGATGCGCTGTGATCGCAATGGGACTTGAAACCTGGACATGCTCCTCTTCCCTCTGGGGGCAATCAGGAGACTTCTGTTCTCTCCTGGCTCTTCTCCTAGCCAACCAGGTGACCTTGGGCACGTCACCGCACATCTCTGGGCCTCCGTTTTCCGATTTCCAAACAAAGGCTTGGAATTTCATGGTTTCAAAGGCCCCTGCCAGCTATCTCCCTGACAATGTGTGAGTCTGGGTGGTGGGACTATCCCCGGAGAGCCCAGCGTCAGACTCAGCAAACATCCTGATCCCTGCTAAAAATCTGTGATTGCCCCTGTTTGCAGCCTTCCAGACTTTCCTGGGCAAAGAGGATGTCTCCCGAGAGGTGGAGGAAGTCCTGACGGAGAGCTGCGTGCAGAGGAACGTCCAGCTGGTGTCCGTGCTGGAGCTGCTCCGGAGTCCCCTCGTGCGCTGGCAGGTCTTCACTGTGGTCGCCACCATGGCCTGCTACCAGCTCTGTGGTCTCAACGCGGTGAGTGTCCCTGCGCAAAGGGAGGAACTAGAGGGAGGGGAGGGCGGGGTGGGGCAGGGCTTGGGCCTCAGTACCAGGATCCGGTCCCAGCTCTGCGACCTCCACCAGCTCTGCGCCATCGGGCAATCCCACAGTCTGATCCATCCTCAGTTTCCTCATCTGTAAAATGGGCTGACGTAATACTGAAAGAAATAACCCATGCAAAGTGTTCAACGCAGCAGCTACACAGTTGCGCCTTAATAAATGCTGCCTACCATTATAATTTCTGATCCCTAAAACTCAGATTTCTTACTAAAATGGGTATTAGGAAGTTGTCAGTGAAAGATGATTTAAATAAAAGTACTCTTGGTTGGGCTGATTTCAACATGCAACTTTGGTCTAAGAAGACCTCAGGCCTGAAAGGAAAACTTTTTCAGGGCCTGAGCTGATGTGGGCAGGGATATCGGTGGGGGGGTCTTCCATGAAGTTCCCCAACCCTCTGATAGACACAGCTGCCCCTTCTCTCCTGGGGGCTCCTGAAGGTAGAATCCAAGAATCCCGGGGAGACAGACTCAGGATCATTATCGTTGTTGCTTCTGAGAAAAACAGTGGGTCTGCCTCAAGGAGTGGTAAGTTCCCCATTTACAAAGGTGTGCAAGCCAGTTGGCGGGGCAGTGTAGAGGTACTTACACAGCTCAGGAGAAGTGGGGCTGGGCCCAGAGGAGGATAAAGGGGACCTTCCACAGAGCCCCAGACAAAACAGCTCCTCTGCATTCATGAGCCTGGCATCCCCTGAAAGTCAGCAGGGAGGGGGTTTGGGGTGTGTTTGGGGAGGTGACATAGAAGGGGAGGCGTCCCTGTCCGGAGAGGGAAAGGTGACAGCATGGAAAGTTCTACCCATCGTGTTTTGCCGCATTTCAACTACTCTTGATTCTGTTTTTGGAAACATTGGGATGAAATGAAATCATCTTGCAACTTAATTGTTTTTACCTTTTTCCTTGGTCTGGTTAAAGTCAGCAGGAGGAGGAGGGGCCTGGGCCAAGGGCACGGCCTTGGACAGGGGCTGCCCTTTCCTCCTCTTTGCACCTCCAGGCTCAAAGCCGCCCTCCCTGTTCTGAGAAGGTAGAGAGGGGGCAGATCCGTTTCTTAGAGCTAACATTTAGAGTAGTAAAAGCCACATATGGAATCTGTATTTAATGAGGCATTTGGATTGAGAACCATGACATTTCTAAACAGAATTCTCTCCTCTCCTGGGACATAATTTTCCAATTTGCATTCCCTATGTAACTTCCTATATAAATCCCACTAGGGTGTATCTGTAAACCCCACTGCATCGGCATGGGATGGGGAGAAACCATCTCATCGGCTCCAAGGGCCAGCCCTGGGGAGGTCTCAGCTAGCCTGTATCCCCCCCTCCTCCTAGTGACTGCCTTTCATCTGTTTTGCTATTGTCATGAGCACATTTAATGTGAGATCTACCTCCTTAACAAACGTTCGGGTGCCCAATGCCCGATTGTGAACTGTAGACACAGTGTCCTACAGCCCATCTGCAGAGCGTATATATCTTGCTTCACTGAAACTTTGCACCTGTTGATTGGCAGCCCCCCATTTCCTCCTCCCACAACCCCTAGCAACCACCACTCCGCTCCCTGCTTCTATGAGTTTGGCTACTTTAGCTACTTCATGAAAGTGCAAGCGTACAGTATTGGTGATCAGCTTTTTCCCTCGGCATGGTGTCCACCAGGTTCATCCATGCGGTCACATGCTGCAGGATATCCTTCCTTTTCAAGGCCGGATAATATTCCATCATGCGTACACATACCACATTTTCTTTATCCATTAGTCCACTGACAAAAGTTTAGGATATTTCCACACCTTGGCCACTGTGAATATTGCTGCATTGAACATGGGAGTGCAGATAACTCTTCGAGATCCTGATTTCGATCTGGATAAAAACCCAGAAGTGGGATGCTGACTCATATTGCAGTTCTGATTTTTTGAGGAACCTTCATACCATTTTCCAGAGTGGCTGCACCAGTTTGCATTCCCACTGACAGTGTGCAAGGGATCTAATTCTTCCACATCCTCACCAGCACTTTTTTTTCATAATAGACATCCTAACAGGTGTGAGGTGATATCTTGCTGTGGTTTCGATTTGCATTTCTCTGATGATGAGTGATGTCAAGTGTCTTTTCATGTGTGTCTGTTGGCCATTTGTAGGTCTTCTTTGGGAAATGTCTGTTCAAATCCTTTGCCCATTTTTTAATGGAGTTGTTTGGAGGCTTTGGGGGGTTTTGTTTTATCTTATTTTGTTTTGCTATTGAGATGTAGGAGTTCCTTATATATTTTGGTGATTAACCCCTTATCAGATATATGGTTTGCCAATATTTTCTCCCATGCTGTAGATTGCCTTTCCACTCTGTCGATTATTTTTTTTGCTGTGAAGAAACTTTTTAGTCTGATGTAGTCACACTTGTTGATTTTTGCTTTTGTTGTCATCTCCAAAAAAAAAAAAATCATTGCCAAGAACAATGTAACAAAGTTTTTCTCCTATGTTTTCTTCTAGGATTTTTCCAGTTCTTGTGTTTAAAATCTTAATCCATTTTGAGTGAAGATTAGCATCCATTTTCATTCCTTTGGATGTGGGTATCCAATTTTTCCAACACCATTTGCCAGACTATCCTTTCCCCATTGAATATTCTTGGCACCCTTTGGCAATTAGTGGACCACATATGGGTTTATTTCTGGTATCTCTATTCTGTTTCCTTAGTTTATATGTCTGTCTTTATGTCAGTATCACACTGTTTTAATTACTGTTGCTTTGTAATATATTTTGAAAAGAGGAAATATGATGCCTTCAGTTTTGTTCTTTTTAAAGATATGGTTCCAGATGAATTTTAGGATTTTTTTCTATTTCTGGAAAATATGCCATTGGGATTTTAATAGGGATGGCATTGAATCTGTAGATCATTTTGGGTAGTGTGGCCATTTTAATAATATTAAATCTCCTAATCCATGAACGGAGTATTTTTCCATTTATTTGTGTATTTAATTTATTTCCGTAGTGTTTTTTAGTTTTCAGTGCAAAAGTCTTTCATTTCCTTAGTTAACTTTATTCCCAAGTATTTTTTTATGCTATTGTAAATACAATTATTTTCATAATTTCCCTTTCAGATGGTTCATTGTTAGTATATAGAAACACAACTGATTTTTGTTTTTTTCTTTATTTTTTAAAGATTTTTATTTTTTCATTTACTTATTTGACAGAGACAAAGAGAGACACAACAAGAGAGGGAACACAAGCAGGGGGAGTGGGAGAGAGAGAAGCAGGCTTCCCGCTGAGCAGGGAGCCTGATGCGGGGCTCAATCCCAGGACCCTGGGATCATGACCTGAGCCGAAGGCAGACGCTTAACAACTGAACCACCCAGGCCCCCAAAACACAACTGATTTTTGTATGTTGATTCTGTATCCTGCAACTTTACCGAATTTATTAGTTCTAACAATGTGTGTGTGTGTGTGCGTGCGCGCGCGCTATCTTCAGGGTTTTCTACATTTAAGATCATGTCATTTGCAAATAGTGATGATTTTACTTCTTCCTTTCTGCTTTGGGTGAATTTTCTTTCTTTTTCTTGTCTAATTGCACGGGCTAGGACTTCCAGTACTGCGTTGACTAGAAGTGGAGAGAGTGGGCATCATTGTCTTGTTTCTGATGTTAGAGGAAAAGCTTTCAGTTTGATGAGTATGATGATATTATGATATGATATTAGCTGAGTATGATGTTAGCTCTGGGCTTGTCATGTATGGCCTTTATTATGTTGAGGTAGTCTCCTTCTATTTATTATGTGTTTAGGATTATTTTTAATCTTTAAGTCAGAAGCAATACTTCCCGCTTGGCATGCTTAACTTGACATGGAGCAAAAAGCTCTGGACCCATATCCAGAGGCCTGACTGTCTGTCTCACTGTGACCACAAGCCTGCAGTGGGAAGCCTAGGCCAATCACTACCCTCACCCAGCCTCTGTCTGCTCGGCTGTAATAATAATAAAGCAAACATTCATTTAGCACTTAACATGAGCCAGAAGTTGTCCTCGTGTCTGTCCTGTGAGTTAGACACCATTGTTAGGCACAGAGACGCTAAGAGACTTTCCCTAGGTCACACAGCTACAAGTGGTAGAAAGGGGATTTGAGCCCTAGCCATTTGGCCACAAGGTCTGGCCGCTTGAGCCCTGAGCAGGGAGGGTCCCTAAGGCCCCCTTTGAGCATCCCCATATGTGTCACTGGGCTGTGTCCCAAGGTCATCCCTAGGCAGCCAATAGGACAAGCCTTACACCCTCTCTTTTACCTACAAAAGGACAAACACTGGTTGGCAGCCACCTCAGCATCAGAGCCCTGTGCTTCAGTCCAGTTCTCCCCAGCACCTCTTGCCTCTCAATCCAAATAATGCATGAGACAAGGAGGAATGCTGTCTACCAGATGAAAAACTTCAAATGCCCTTTAAAACTTGCTTTCTTCCCTTAATTGTCCCAGAAATTATTTGGGCTCCTGCCCTGGGGGACCTGCCCAGGCTTGGCCAGTCTTTCTCTAAGGCCCAGGTACCTGCGCTAACCCAGCCATTCTCAGCCTCAGCACTGTGCACATCTGGGGCCGGAAAATCCCTTGTCATGGGGGGCTGTCCTGTGTACTATAGAACGTTTCACAGCATCCCTGGCCTCAGCCCACCAGATGACAGTAGGCTACCCCACCAGTTGTGGCAACCAAAAATGTCTTCAGACGTTGCCAAATGTGCACTGGGGGGGAAATTACCCCCAGGTGACATTCACCATATTAAGTGAACATTACATATTGCCCAGTGCATTTTCGCTAAGAAGTCGATGAATAGTTTCCGCATACCTTAGAAATCAAGCAGAAGTTGGATTTAACATTCAGTTGTTTCTAAATTCCTTATCAGTGTGGGGTTGTTTTTTCCCTCCTTCTCACAATGGCTTTCAAATTCCCTCCTCTAAAATTAGACCTGTCACTTAAAATGCCTTATTTTCTGCAGCTGTCTTCCTCCTGAGCAGTTTGTCCTTTGCATGAAAGTCAGACTTTTGTGCGAATGTTCTGTCTCTCACCAGCGAAGAGCCTCCTGGTTACAGCGGCGGGGGGGCGGGGGGGGGCGGGTGCGGATGATGGATGGAAGAGGAATCTCCAGTCAGTCAGGGGCACAGACAGCCCCAGCATAGCCCGAGCAGCGGAAGAACCATGGGGCCAGAAGGCCAGAAGCAAACAGGCCTGGGTCTGCACCCTGCTTGGCCTTGCCGGCTGTGTGTGGTCTCTCTGATCCTAAGGCAATGTCACCTTCACAAGCTGTTGAGAGAGTTGAAAATGATGACGCGTGTTATGCTAGGTCTCTAACACACTGTGTCAGGAGTTAGGAAGGAGGGCTTTGGGGCACTGGAGGCAGGCAGTCAAGAAGCAGGCTGAGAAGCAGCCCCAGAGGGCCTTCCTCCACAAGGCATGTGCATAACTGACATTTTCCTTTACCAAAGAGCCATGGTGTCTCAGTAGAGAGATGGAAATCTTCTAGAATGATCCCCCCCCATTTGTTATGTACCAATTCTATAAAAGATGCTTGGGGCACCTGGGGGGCTCAGTGGGTTAAGCGCCTGACTCATGTCATGGTCTCAAGGTCTTGAGATCGGGCCCCACACTCAGTGTGGAGTCTGCTTGTCCCTGTCCCTCCCCCTCTGCCCCCCCCACTCGCACTTGCACACGAGCTCGCTCTCTCTCTAAAATAAATAAAATCTTTTAAAGATGGTTTACTTTGTCACTTTAAACATTTTTACAACCACCCTGAAAGACAGATTTTTTTTACCTTCTTTAGATACATGTAGTCCCTTGCCTACAGACCCACAGTTCCCCAGAGGCAGCCCTGGGGTTGGAATCAGGTGTTCACGCCTCCAAACTGTGGCTCCTTCCAGTCCGCCGTCCGTCCCCGAGGGAGGAGACTATCGGCAACCTGAGAGCGTGATGGTGTCACGGATGAGATCAACACAAAGCTAACTCCTCGGGGAGGGTTTGCTGCAGGACACACCCCACCTTTTCCCGGTGCTTCCATGGTGTATAACGCCCTCGAACTGCCAGATCACGTAAGCCTCGGTGGGATGGAGGCAGAGGCCGTTACCCGCCTGCTCTATAAGATGCTTCAGCCAGAGAGAAATGGCTTCTGGAGCCGGCAGAAGGAGACAGGCAATTTGTGTGATGGGCAGGCCTCCTCCCCCCACTCCCTCCTGGGAGCAGCCCAGCAGGACCTCCTCGCAAGCCCTGGAATGGGGGAGATGGTCCAAAGGGCTGATTTCTGCCTCTCGAGGGATAAATGCATTTACTATGAAATGACTCCAGAGCCACTTTCGTAAGCAACCCCCCCCCCGCCCCATGAGCATGTAATTTTATGCGGTGCGACCCTCTTCGTTAACCTTGGGGTTTCAGGAAGAATTTGAAGCAGGGAAGGTTGCAGGGGATGTGAGGAGCAAGAAGGAGGCCACGGGGGGAGGCCAGGGCATGCACAGCTCCCACAGGAGAGCACGTACCCCGTGGAATCAACCACGGGCTGGCAGCCCTGGGTTCAGACTGAGACAGCAGAGTATTCTGGGGGATGGAAGGGGCCCATAGAGCCTTGGCTATTAAAAATCAGTGAATCTGGGTAAAGATTAAGAAAGGCGTTTAAGCCCCTTTGATCCAACTCTGAAGATCACAGTTACTTTCCAAAGGGGAGGAGATTATACAAACAAATCCAGTGAAGATTGGGGTTTTCTGGAACAATTTTAGCTTCTGTCACAGCCCTAAGAATGAATTTATCAGGAGCCACTTCTGTACTTGGTGAATGTGGAAGCAAAGGTAGAATCTAAAATTCTAATTTATCAGCTCAATCAAATGTGGGGCAGACACTGGCAAGAGGGTCTTTGTCTTACGAGAACCTTAAAACGCATTTTGCCGAGAGATGCATCAGTGCCCACAAGCTCACAGAAATATATGCAGTCATTTTTACTGGCCTCTGAGTGTGCCTATAACTTTATGAAGATACTCCCCTCGCTAAAAGATAAGCCATCTGTAGATATGTATAGTTCCTAAATTGGATCTTCCCCCCCAGTGCATGAAAAACGTTTTGCTAAACAAATGCCGGTAACAAGACAAATTTGTAGAAATGAGAGATTTTCCAAAAATGAAGTAAGAGCCAAATGCAAAGAGCGTGGCCAGCCACCGTTGGGCCTGACAAGTTATAAGCAACGAGCTCTAATGTTTCTGCTTAATAACGATCAGGGTGTAAATGCTTCCAAGGCCCCCGAAGGCGGCGGGTTTCCTCGTCAGATGTCATGTAAAGGACAGCTTGGTTTTCTATATTTAACAAACTCGTGCTCTTTAAGAAAATGGCTGGGATTGGGAGGCCACAAATGACTCGTGTCCAGCCTATGGACCCGAAATTTTAAGTAAATAGGTGAACAGTGACAATTCTTACCCAGTCCGGACACTCCACAGGAGGGGCGTGAACAGTGACAATTCTTACCCAGTCCGGACACTCCACAGGAGGGGCGTGGCAGGACAGAGTGAATTACTTGAGGTCACACAGCCAGTTCAACATGGAGCCAGGTCTCCAACCTCCAGTCAGTGATTGCCCGATGCCCCATGAGTGTCATTAGGGTTAGGTTTGGTCTCAAGTGGCAGAAACCTCCACACTGACCTAACCTGACATTGAGGACAATTGGGAAGGGTGGTACAGCAGTCCCAGGACCACACATCCTGGTTTGCCCAGGGCAATCCGGATTTATGCCTCTTGTTCCGAACTAATTATTAACACTCTCAAAGGTGCCCAGGTTTGGTTAATGAATTATAGAATCACTCTAGTGAGCAAGGACACAGGCTCCTTCCAACTTCTTGCTCTAGCTTATGGACAGGTGGCTTGCATCCCAAAGCAGGGGCTCTATGCGTAGTTGTGCAGGCTGTGTGTTGCACAACCCTCAGGGCATCATTCACACTGTCCCCATTATAGATTTATTGTAACGGTTTTCTAGTGGATGACAGTAAATTGTCTTGTAGATCAGGAACCTTTTCAGTTTCTCACAAAGTTACCATGGGGGCTACCATGCTGTCCTGAGGTCACCTAGTGATCCAAGAGGGCTGCTGAAGCTCCAGCATCATGTTTACCATCCTGACAGCAGAAAGGAGGAAGGGCAAAAAATGGGATCACACCTCGTTGGTGGAAAGCTCATTTTAAGGAGATTTCTGTTCCTATCTCATCGCCACAATTAGCTCAGCATGTGTTGCTCCCAGTACCGTAGTTCTGTTAGCGATGAAGAAGGGGCAAAGGTGAGAGAGGGAAGGAAACAAATAGTTGGCCACACCACACAGCTCCATGCTGGAGGTAGCGGCAAATCTCAGAGACCACCTTGCACCTGAATTTAATTTTGGAAATAGATGCCTTTCACTGACTCTCCCTTGTTTTTCTTTCCCGCATTATAGATTTGGTTCTACACCAATAGCATCTTTGGAAAAGCTGGGATCTCACCAGAAAAGATCCCATACATCACCTTGAGCACCGGTGGCATCGAGACTTTGGCCGCCATCTTCTCTGTAAGTAAACTGAGGGTTATTCCTGAGAACATCATAGTGGGGTGAACAACGCCATGGGGCCCCCCAGGCAGCAAACATGCTTGCCTTTAAAGGAGCATGTCCTTTGTCTCTCCATAGGTGTCTGAATTTTAAGATGTTTCACCCATCTGGAGAATATTATCTATATTTTGCTCTCCTATTGTCTTTCTTTTCATAAATAGCTCCCTTCTTTGAACTCTCACCTGGTCACAGATGATAGAGCACCCAGTAAAAAGGGCCACTTCTCCCAGGGGGTCCAAATCAGTGTCCCTGTGAGCCTAAGGTCCATTGCCAGGACTTTAAAGTATTTCCAGACCATTAGCTGTCATCTTTCTACCCCAAATATGTAGGAGTTTGCAGGCAAAGGAAAGGAGAGAGGACATTCCAGTCGATCGGTGTAACAGAGGGTGACTTTAATAGTAAGCAAAAGTGTCCAAAGGAAGACACAGAGTTCACCCTCCTTTCTCAACCTCAAAGATGCACAATCAACATACTGCAGGGAGGGAGTTGGGAGACTTCAGAATTTCGCAGAAACCGCACAGGTTGGGGCCATCAGACCAGACGAGATTTGAATCGTGGCTCTAGAATTTCTTGGCCGTGAGATGCTGGACAATGCTCTCAACCTCTCTGAGCTTCAGTTTCCCCTTTTAGACGTCTGATTCTCTTCCACCTTGTAGGTATGTGGTCTCTGCCTCACACTGTAGGCAAACCATCCACGACGGGGCTCCTTTCCAAAGGACAGAGGGGAGGGTAGAATCAGAGCGAGGTTCTCAGACCTTCATGGGGGAGCTCATTTATTTGCTCTCTCGCACCAACTTCTGCTGACGGGATTGATGCAGTGCAGACATGCAGAGACTTCCAGTCCCATTTCTGACTCGCATTCAACAGAACGCTCTATTTTGCTTCTTGCTCATAATGGGTCATTCTAACAAGATGCTTCTAAAGATGGGTGTCAGGAAAGTGTTGAGGACTGATGTGCGTCTCCTCCTTTCACTCACCGTCTTTTTGTTAGAGGAAAATATCTCACCATTTCACAATCTGGGAGTTTCACAAAATTCTGGCTTTGAGTTACGCCCCACACCCCCGATGTGGCTATGCATGCTTACGTTGATCCATGGAAACGCACAGTCTGGAATGGAAATGGTGGGAAACAACAGGGTTTGTTTGGGGGCCGGGGGTCGGTAAAGTATTTTGTTGTTGTAAGGAATCATCACGAGCTCATTAGGGTGCATGTGTACAGTTCAGAAAAGCAGGAAGAACCGAAGAAGAAATCTACAAACATACATACATTTGGCAAAATCTCCCCTTGGCTTTTCTGTGCGCGGGTGTGTTCTGTTCTTACGCAGTAGTCACCCTGCTTTTGTTCACATGACCTTGTGCCAGACGTGCTTTCCGTTTTACTTTCCTTCTTTCTTGTCTGAGACATGTTTTGTTGAAGTGTAAGAGCATGCTGGTCATCGCCCCTGTGACCGAACACCAGCCGTGCAGGCTCTGTGGCTCTTCAGAAATTGGCTGTATGGTCAGTTCTCTCACCGCTGTCTGCGGGGAGGGGCTCTTGAGCGTGTCCCCTCGGAGCTTGGATGGCAGAGCCACACCGCCTGGATTCTGATCCCTGCTCCGTCCCTTTTGAGCTGCGTGACCCTGGGGAAGTTATTCCACAGGTCTCTGCCTCAATTTCCCCATTTCAGTAATAAGGACACTGCCCCTCGCCTGGGTGGCTCAGTCAGTTGAGCATCAGACTCTTGATTTCAGCTCAGATCATGATCTCGGGGTCCTGGGATTGAGCCACACATGGGGCTCCACGCTCAGCAGGGACTCTGCCTGAGGTGCTCTCCCTCTGCCCCTCCCCCACCCCAGCTCATGCACACTCTCTCGCTCAAATAAATAAATAAAAGGGCACTGTCCTTGCCCATAGAGAGGACTTTTGTAAACTCGGACAGGGAGTCAGCCTGCTGCTGCCTTCAAGTGTGGAGCACGATGGACCACGGTCACCTGGCACATGCATTCTAGAGAAGCAGGGACCTCCGTGTGGGCCCACTTTGGGGAGAGGCGGCTTCATAGCTCTCATGGAGGCGTCATTCATTCATGCCTGCATTCATTCTACACCCATATCCTGCTTGTGCCAGGAGGTCACCAGTGAAGTTGTCATGTTCTAGAGAGAAAGATCCAGAAACAGACATGTACCACGTGCAACACTGGGATGAACTCTCCTGGGAGGGCTTCCTGGAAGAGGGCCCAGGAAGGCGAGCACTGAAGGTCCAGCAGTCGTTAGTCAGGTGAAGCCAAGGGCAGTGCATTGGGGAGCCTGTCCACTGGTCCCTTGCACATGGCCCCAGTCATCTGCACCCCTCCCAGTGTTTCATCTAAAGGAACTGGAGATGCAGAATAGTCCACTGGGAGTAGTTCTTAACATGGTAGCCTTCACCCTCATCCCCGGAGTACCTCGAGATTAACTCCAACATGAGGCTGGGAGTCTGAGATGGAACAATGTGTTCGGGGGAGAAAGAGCTGAGGCTGTGGGGCCGGCACCTTTGAATTCAAATCCTAACCACCCATCTACTAGCTGAGTGGCCTGGCGAAAATTGCCCAACATCCCTGAATTTGTCATCTTTAAAATGAACATAACCAGGCCTACCTGTGGTAAGCAGAATCCTGGTCTCCCAGTGTCCCCGTCCTGATTCTTGGAAGCACAAGTATGTCACCTTACACAGCAAAAGAGGCTTTGCAGGTGTGAAGATGTTAAGGATCTGGAGATAGGGAGGTTATCCTGGATTAACCAGGTGGCCCAGTGTCATCACTAGGGTCCTTCAAAGTGAAAGAGAGAGGCAGGGGTCAGAGTCAGAGAAGGAGATGTGGGGATAAAAGCAGAGGTTGGAGTGGCAGTTGCTGGCTTTGGTGGAGGAAGGAGCCACGAGGCAAGCAGGTGGCCTCCGGAAGCTGGACAGGCAAGGAACAGAGCCTAGAGGAACAAGGAACAGAGCCTTAGAGCCCCCAGAAGGATCACAGCCCTGCCAACCGCTGTGATTTTTGCCCCCTGAGACCTGTTTTAGACTTCTATCCTGAGAGCTGTAGCAGATTGTGTTTCTTTCAACCACTATGTTTGTGGTGACGCAGCCCCAGGAGACGAATCTACCGCCTTCCGGAACTGTTGTGGAAGCAAACCTCGAAGTGCAGGAAGGCCCACTGCAGCATGGCTGACAGTCAATACGCAGTAAATCCCATGGCCCTTCCAAAGTTTTTATTCCCTTGCTTCCAAAGATATGGACACTGTTTCATCCAACCCTGTGAGGCTGCCGCCTATCCAAAAGGACTTCCCAATTTGTTTTCTTCTTCCCGAGATTTTGACAGTCTGTTAAAATGGCATTGGGACCTAATAAACTTGAGAAAGACACTTTTGTTCATTTGATTGGCAATTAACTTTGGCTCCTGGCATTGCTCATCGGCTTGGGTAGCTGTAAATAACTGCATCTTGCAGAAACAGCTGTTTTTCCAAACTGACTTTCTCGGCGCGGCATTAAGTCTCCGAGTGAACTTTCACCGAGGGTCACCCGGGCCCCACGAGCCCAAGCAGCGGCTGCGACCTGGGTCAGCAGCAGCTTGTGGAGCATGAGCCTCATTCCTTCGAGAAGTGGAGACACTGCTTTTTCAAATCGGGGGAAATGGAATTCACGAAAGTCCTTCTTGCTCCTTATTCTTCACAGTAAGTTTGTGTGGTTGTCAGGAATGGACTTGGCCATAGTGTTGAAGTTATAAAAAAAAAAAAATCCTGCTGGTTTCCACCACCTGCTCTGCTTCCAGAACAAACCCAGAATCAAAACCTTTAGAGTTCACAGCTTCATCTTAAGACCCTGGATCTGTTGGATGAGAAAGTGGGTCCGGGCAACAAAGCAGGGTGGTGGGGTGTTTGGACTCTGTGGTCTCGTGGCCCTCAGCTCAGTAGCTGGGTCACCTCAGGCTAGTTACTTAACCTTTCTGAGTTCCTGTTTTCCCTAAGGGAAAGTGGAGATAATACAAATCTCTACCTCAACAGTTCTTATCATGAGAATTATACAGTAATTCACAGCACTTGGCATAAAGCAGGTACCCATAATTATTATTATGGGTTGAATTTGTCATCCTTACAAAATTTATATGTTGAAGCTCTAACTCCCAGTACCTCAGAATGTAGTCATTACAGATATGATTTGCTAAGATAAGATCACTCTGGAATAAGGGGACCACTAATCCTCTATGATCGTCATCCTTATTAAAAGGGGGGAATTTGGGGGCACCTGGGTGGCCCAGTCGGTTGAGTGTCTGTCTTCAGCTCAGGTCATGATCCCAGGGTCCTGGGATTGAGCCCCACGTCGGGGAGTCTGCTTCTCCCTCTCCCACTCCCCTTACTTGTACTCTCTCTCTGTCAAATAAATAAAATCTTTTTTAAACATTAAAAAAAATAAAAGGGGGGAATTTGGACACAAACACACATACCGAGAGAACGCCATGTGAATTTTGAAGGCCTGCCCTTGGCAGAGGGGAGGGGCCACATGAAGCAAAAGAGGAACCAGATTTCTCCTTTGGCCCCCAAACTCCCGGGGGGGTGGGTGGCAAGCAGCTGCCAGGGCTCCATCCAAGCCGGCAGCACCCACTAGAGCTGAGAAATTATGATTTCGGTTGAGTAGTTTTTCATATTTGGTGCCTATGTCATCATTCGAGAAGGCGCTTCTGTAACCTTTTGCCTTGAGAGGAAGCATGCATGTACACGTGGGGGCTCCCCTGGTTCTGAGGGCTCTTGCTCACGGGAGGGGCAGGGAGGACCACCCCAAGCACACAGGCAGGTTTTCCCTGGAGCCCATTTCCCTGCAGTCCCTGCTCCCACCCACTCCCAGATCTGATAATACCTTTTTATCAGGTGGTTCTATTTCTGACTTTGGCCAAGGACACACGTGCAAGCAGGTTTGTTCCCTGCAGCCCACCAATGCTTTATTTCCCACCAAACATCT